ATCCCCACCCCAAAATTGGAGGAATTGTAGTTTATGAAAGGGTGAGTCCACAGGGTGACCTTAAACCCGTCTTCCCTCAGTTTTTCAAACATCTCCGTTACATTGGGGAATTTGGCGGGATCAAAGTCAAAGTCCCCATAGGCTTGCGTGTACATGTCATCAATTTCTATGTGGCTGCAGTTAAAACGGTATTTTTTGATCTTTTCGGCAAATCGCAAGAGTTTATCCTGGTCAATATTGTTCTTGTAGAGTGCCCAGGTGGACCAGATGGGGTATCGGAAGGCGTTCTCTGCAGGGATCTTGGAGGGCTTGTTGAAGTACCGGCGCACCATGTACTTGTGGATGGAGGTGACATCGGAGCCCACGCAGACCCGGTAGCTGAGCTCGGGGAAGGGCTGCTGCCCTGGTGGGGGCTTGTAGGGCGAGTCCTTGTAGCGGGCCTGGAAGAAGAGGGAGCGCTCGGTGGCGTTGTAGCCCAGGTGGAAGGGAACGGAGTCGTTGATCTTGATGGCCGCCGCCTTGGAGGAGAGCCAGTAGCGCTCGAGGATGCCGCCGAAGCTGTCGCGGAAGGAGTAGACGTCGCTCGTCACGTAGGGCAAGGGCTCCTGGGAGCCAGCCAGGCGGATGGGCCAGTGCTGGGTGCTCATCTCCGAGCCCCCGTACCAGTGGGCGTCCTCCCAGAACATGGTGTGCTCCACCGCCGGGCCGGCCGCCAGCTCCTCCCAGCGCACGCGGTAGCACATCACCGTGTCCTTGGGCTTCACCGTCTGGATGAAGAAGTTGAGCGGCCCCCCGCCCGACCGCGTGCAGCTCAAAATCTCGCCCTCCTTGGAGCACGACTCCAGGTCCAGGGTGCCCGAGCGGAAGGCCAGACGGAAGACCACTTCCCCGTGCTGGTTCTTGATGACGAAGCCGTCCGCCCGCAGGTCCATCAGCTCCGTCTTGAGCCGCTCCGCCTTCCGCAGGGACACTGTGTAGTAGCACCAGGCCACCACCGCGGCGATGAACAGGATGAGGCCCAGCAAGATGGCCCCAAGCATGGGCCTCAGCTCCTTAGAGGGCTTCTGCTTCACCGGCGTGAAGTTTTCGGGCAGGAAGGTGTACATGATGCTTTGTTTTCTCTAGAGCTTTTTGCAGGAGTGGGATGGAAGATCGCTTTGCAGCAAGCTTGGGAGTCTCAGGAGAAGAAAACTGCCTCTTAGGAGAGTTCTCACCTCCATCGAGTCCCGTCTCTGAAAAAGAAGAAAACAGAAATAGTCTCAGAGGAAGGTCTGAATCAAGGGACAGCTTGTCATGCATTTGCCATCTCAATTTCAGCAGCTGCCCCTGGCCCCCGCTGCTGGGCTCTGACGTGCCACGTGCTGTACGCTGAGTACCAGACACCATCTCCGATTACCCTGGGCAGACAACGCGTGTGGAGAACAGCCGGAGCTCCAGGCAGAGAACAACCCCAGGGCAATATGGACCAAATAATTGCCTTTTTTTTTGTTTGTTTTTGTGGTAAAGATTTCCAGTGAGGCAAGAACCAAGACTGAGGAGAGGGGGGGAGAAGGCTGAGCAGGAGCCAGATCAGCCCATTGGCAGTATCTTTAAGGGACAGGGCTAGCTAAGATCCATAAAAGAGACCACGTAATGAATTCCAGGCAGACACTCTTAATTTCAATCAAACTGCATTCCTGGCAGATTTAACTCACGTAGATTTAAATCCCTGGCAGATTTAACTCATCCGCAGCACCGTCCCCTTCCCGTCCCAGCGCACCCTGGCTGCTCCAGCCGAGCAGCGCTTTGCAGGGAAGGTGGATAAATCCCTGCTTCTCCACAGCTCCCAGATGGCCGAACAGGCCTGGGATACCGGCGGCATGTGGCTGGTGTTGGGGGGCATGTAGGGGTGCGTTGTGCAGCAAAGCGTGGCTGTGGGAGGTACCGCACCAGCAGCCCCGATCAGGAGGAGAGCGGCTCGCTCCTGCCATGCACGCAGAACCCTGCACCGGCTCTGGGTAGGAGAAAAGCTAATTTTGTTGTGAGCGAGTGGTGCAGGACCTCCAAAGGGCTCTTCCTCCATCCGGCACTGCTCCAGCCCGCTCCCCCCTGTGCGGCCCCAGGGAAGCGGGATGCGCCAAGAGCCTAATGGCTTTTCCTTGGCTGCGGGCTGGCTGGGCTCAGCCAAGCACAGCGCCAGGGATCCAGAGGGGAAAAGTAAAGTAAGGACATGGGAGACCAAGAAGCAAACCCAGCTGTAGGAGGAGCAGGGGGAGGAGAGGAGCTGTAGAGCCACAGATCCGTTGGCCGGTACCTATCGCCAGCAAGCGGGAGTACGCTGCCTCCTCCCCAAGCCCTGGGCTGTAAATCTGCTGGCTCCAGCCAAACTGGATGAAAAAAAGCTCTTTTTGCGCACCAACTAAGCTGGTTGCAGTGACCCCTCTAAAGACACTGGTTTATTTCTTTTTAAAAAGGCAGAAGAAGATCCTAAATTAAATAAACTCTCTCCCTGCCATAGGCATGACAAGCCAGAGCACATTTTCCTCTGCAACTTAAACAGATCTTTCTCCCACAAAAAAGATGAGTAAAGCAGAAAAGGGTCCTGAGCATCACCTAAACCCTGCGCTCCACTGTGGGGATGCTCAGGTGTAAACCCAGAGCAGCATCCGTGCACAGGCCCAGCAAAACATACACCTTTTTATATCCATCCTGAAGCCATACTGGGCCAGACCTTGCAGCTGGGGGAACTTTTTCCTTGCCGGCTGGGTCATTTTAACCTTCCCCTGGGAGCTGGTAACTTTCTAGGCTGCCAGTTGCTTTAAATGGGATTAGGGAGGCATTAGGAAGCGATTAGCCTGAATGGGCAGTAGGTTTAGCTAAATGACTTGTACCATGGCCAAGTCCCACGGAGCCCTTACCAGTGGGGAGCTCTGGCACGGGATGGGGGCGGCTCCAAACGCCCTGAATGCGTCAGCCAGGGCCAGATCCTGCCCTCCAGGAAGGGAACGGAGGCCCTCACTCAGCAGCACGTGTGATGTGAGGCCAGCTGAGCAATTGGACAATAAAGGCAGGGAGAAGACGGTGGTGGGAAGATGCTGTGTTTGGGATAAACCTTCATCCCCTCTATCAACCTCTTCTTGGCTTTAGGGGATTGTATTGGGGATGGGGGGAGGAAGGTTTGCAGAAGGGTCTTGGCCAAAACCAGCACAGCTGAGCGAAGACACAAATGGCAGGATGTTTCTGGAAATACAGACGGGTATGCTGAGCCCAAACGAGATCCCTCCTCAGCACTGGGAATTTTTGGGATGCCAGAGAGGGAGATGCAAATACCTGTCACTACCAGGAAGCACGCCTGTGCCTCATTTGTACCTTATCTGGGGACTGCAAAGCTCAAGGAGGGGGAGGAATAAAATGCAGTCTCCACCAAGCAGGACTTGCAAGTATTTGGGAAAATAATCTTTGTAATTTTATGTTTTCTGAAAAAAAGAGGAAATAAGTGGTCATTTTTTTCCCAGCCCTCATTTAGGGTTTCAGGCCCAAGAAATGGCCGACACCGCTGCTGTGGGGACAGCCATGTCCTCACTCCATGTAAAATTGACAGCAGCTTCTGGGACTTTAGGGAGTTTCTGGACTTTCAACTCCCTCTCAGGAGGCCGGTTTATTATTTATGAACTACTTCGAAGCTGCTCTATTTTTAGGCTGTTTCTTTCTTTCCCCCCACCATGGGCTGGAGTTCATGACAAACACGAAGGAGCCGTCAGTGCTGCTGCCAGTAGAGAAATAATGTGGTTTTTAAGAAAGGGTTTGCAGCCCTCGGACACCAACCTGCCTCAGAGGGACGTGCAAGCCAGGTGCTCAAGCTGGTGGATTTAATCCCGCTCCAGTCACTCTGGCTGGGCCAGGATCAAACCCCTGTGGCTGCCCTGGGCTGGCGGACATCACCTGCTTGGGTACCACTCCAACTAAGATGCTGAGGAAGGAGTTTGCAGCACATTAAAGGGCCCGGGAGGTCTCAGAAAACAGGATCTTGCTCTGTGCCCATCCGGCCTCTCAATTTTTTTGCCTTGTTAACAAAATGGACGTTCTCCAGTCAGCGATTTGGCTCGGTCCCAGAGGAGAGGTAAGCCTGCAGCTCCCCAGAGACGTCTGCTACCTTGCGCTCACGAGCTGCAGCCCGCAGAGGTGCCTGCTCACGCAAAGACTGTTTCAACATTTATTTTGGAATGCAAACTTGTTATTTTGCTCCAAGATGACATTGCAGTGACCTTTAACTTCTCCTCCTCCAAAAAAAAAAAAAGGGAAGGGAGGGTGTCAAAGCCAAACAGCGTGTTTGCAGCTTGCTGCGCTGGAGCTCCCCAGCTGACCCAAAACAAAGCTTTTTCATCCTGTTCTGTGGAAGCAGCAAGTCGTCTTGCCTCACTTCGGATAAAAGCAAAACATCCGAGCAGGACACACTTTACGGAGTAAAAATAAAAATCCATTTTTTGAGCGCTCTATTTTTACCAGCACCGGCGCTAACCAGGGGCTACGAGACCCACAGCACCACTAACCCCAGCAACTTTGCAATTAGGACATTCGTTTAAAGAGGGTCAGTAACATTTAACTGGTCCCTATTGCCCTGGTGGGGTCAGGTCTGAACTGCGCTGGGGGCCAAGCTCCTGCCAGGGACATGCACCCATTTCCCGCTCAGGGACGCTGGGAAACCCTCGCCACTGGTGCAAAGTGATGCCACCTCCTCCCCAAACATCTTGGTAGGAGTTGAACTAAGGAAACACAGAAGATTTCACCCTGAGGCATTTCCAGCCCCATAAAAGAGCAGGGAATTAGGATGGCAAATTAAGGGGGAAATTACTTCTCTGCCAAAGAGCTGCGGGGGTGAAAAAAGCCTCCATGTGCCCACTCTGCAATCCCTGAGGGGGACCAGCCCTGCCAAAGAGACTTCGCAGAACGGAGACAGGGGATGAGCAAACCCTTCCCAGGGGTTTAATTTCCCTTGGAGGGGTCTGCAGCAGCACTGGAATGCTCTGCAGGGGGGTTTGGAGTTACAAAGGGTGAAATCACTGTTCCAGCTACTTGACACTGATAGAAGGCAGTGCGATGGGGGGGTACCCAGCAGCAGTGCTGGCATGGGGCATGCTCCCCACATGGCCTGGCCACCCCCCTCCATGGATCAGATGCACCGATTCCAACCCCGGCGCTACAAAGCCACCCACAAGGATCCCCCCGAACACCGCACAGATCACCCCGGGGTCCTGGGTTTATCCCTGCGATGCACAAGCCACCCCAGGGCACATGTGGGTGGTACAGACCCCCGTCCCCCAAGGCAGGGCCATGACTCCCCTTAGGGCAGGGACAGCGTGGGGGGACACGGTGTCTCCTCCCCAGGGGCCCCCCGCCTCCACCGTCCCCACTGCCATCACTCGCAGGAGGGACTCACATGCTGCCTGGCCTGAGGGGCTCGGGGAAAGGTGGCGGTGGGGGCCAGTCTGTGCACCTCCTGCAAAGTGACAGATGCCTGCTGTTGAGGCTGCTGCCTGCGTGGCAAGAGACGGCAGCAAATTCCCGTAGCACCCGGCTGTGGGATGCAGACAGCCCTATCCAGGAGGCAGCTCACCCCACCAGGGGCATGGTGCTGGTACTCACCCGTCCATTGCCTCCCAGGGATCCCTGCCTGCCAGCTGGCTCCACCACAGATGGCTTTTTAAGCACGTAAAATAGAAGCAATGCTATGTCTCCACATCCCCGGCAGCTTCGTCCTTTCCATCGCGCCGGGATGTTTCGGGGCTACGAGCTGGCCGCGCCCCGAGCAGCATGTGTCAGCGGGCAGGAGGAGGGGACCCAGCGCGTCACCGACATGTTTTCTCAGGCAGCGTGACGGATGCGTGAGCAGCCAACCCTCCAGCCCGGGTGTGCTGAGGCAGTGGCGACCGGCCAAGAGGCAGCTGCATCGGGCATCGCGGCAGCACGAAGGGCGCGAGCTTTGCTGAGCCTCAGCTCACGGCGTCACGGTACTGGGGCTGGCATCTCACCTCCCTGCCAGGTGAGCCGGCGAAGGCTTGTCCCCCCCCAGACTCTCCAGATTCAGAAAGCAAAATGAAAACCAACCCAGGGTTTTCTTCTTTCCTCCCCAAGTCGTGTGATTTGAAGCAGAGTCATGATTCAGCAGAGTAATGAGGCTGCCTTGAGCGAAAGGAAACAAGCCGCCCCGCGGCTGCCGGCCGGTTTGTAAGCCAGGATTAAACA